CGCACCCCATCCAAAATGTTTTTAAACATTAGCAGGGAGGCATCCTCATAGAAGCTGTAAAAAGCTTAAGGTTAAGTAATGCGAGCACTGTTGAGAAAGTTCTGGCAATGATCCAGAGCTAATTGACAAAGAAACTTAGAGAAAACATAAGAAAACATGTGCTCATAACTTTCCCCTGGGGAAAAGCTCCAGAAATATGAGAGGCATTCAAAGCCGATTTTCCAAGGCTTTTGTTGATAAGACAAATAGACAAAATTAGTTTTTAAAACCATAAAATGGAAATTTCTGGAAAGATATGGGAGGCATATTCTCAGCAATTCAAGAAGATTCAAGTTGGTACTTATAAATTGTATAACTAGTCTACGTCTATGGACAAGATCTGATAGTCTTCGAGATACTGCAATTTAATCTGACAATCAGGCCAAGTCTCACAAAATCCAGTGAATTTTCAGGTGTCACCAAAAGTGTAGAACAAGAATGCTGCAAAGATTTGCAACGATATTGATTTGTAACAGTAATGTAATTCTGTATAGGTATAGTTCCCGCCTATACCGAAATGGTTTTCAAAAAATGTACTCAGGGTTTGCGAACAAGTATTGGTAAACAAAAGATTTCGAATTCCGTACTGTATGCGCAGCATAAGGATAGTTTACTGGCATTTTGCGATAACATCCATATTGCATGTTGCAATTTGGACGCAAACAACAAAAAAAATTTTCGTTTAGAAAATGATTCGTTACAGCTTTTTAGCTACAATCTAACAATTTCACTTTCGTGACATTTAAATATTTTGAACGGAATTCTATTGCAGTATTTTGTTTTACGCACGTCTCAAAGGTCATAGGGAAGGAGGTGGTCATTTTGATTGAAAATTCACAATCTTCAGCCTCCATTTCTTCTTCCAACAAATGCGCCTTAAAACATTTTGAAACTGTCCCACTTATTTCCCTGGCGTTTTCTCAAGCGATGTTACGAGGACATGTTTTCAACACTTCTCCCCAAACTTCTTTGGCAACATTATTTTGAATCCTGGCCAAATCTTCTCCACAGTGCTCGAGCTCTTAATTATCTCCTGCAGAAACCACGGCCAGGCCTTTGATTTTTTCCTGCGCCTCCTCTCCGAACTTCCATGGTCGGTCGCACCGTTGATATTGATACTTAGGAAGTAATATGGTTTTTGGAAAGTGCTCCCACACAGAAATTCATGTGATGTGCACGGAAGAACACGCAAAAGTAACGGTCGGAGCGTTTGCCAAAGTTGCAAATGTAGTAACGCGATGTGAAATACAAGTGTAATACTTGTGCAATGTTGCTCAAACTTTCGCGGTTGAAACACCTGCAGAGGATCCGCCCACATAACGGCATACTGCGGAATAAAGTGTAGGCCTTGCGCAACATATTTGAACAGAGTTTGATTTTGAAACTGTCGCATTGCTAGAAATGGGGAAGAAAGTCGGGAAAAGTCGGTGGCGGCTCTCTTTCAAATTGCAAGCTATAGGCGATGCGATCGAGCGCTTTTTCGTTTCTTTTACCATCTGTTGTCTCTTCCATGCACGAACTATCTCGGCCAGACGGTCGAGATAGTTCGTGCATGGAAGAGACAACAGATGGTAAAAGAAACGAAAGAGCGTCCCCGTTCTTCCCGTTTCTAGCAATGCGACAGTTTCAAAATCAAACCCGAGATATCCCAGCCTTTGAGTGTCATGAATCGTATATATCTTATACGCAGACAATGATGCGCAAAAAGCATGTTTTGTTTGCTCCTTGAAGTAACTTTTCATATTTAGCAGCTTTCTTCGTGCTATTTCGTTTCTGTTTTGTATTGTGATAGTTTTTAATGGAACCTAAAGGATCAGGTTTTCATTAAATGTTACAATGCGCTTATTGTTCTGATTATATTGAAGAAAAAACAACAACCTAAATGTGACATGCAGGGCTTCGAACATTATTGATTCAGTATGTGAGGGTCAGACTTTAATTATAAGTCTATGCTTAGGCAGCATTCTTTCTTTGCAAGGAGATCGTGCATACATTTTAGCACAACATTCGCGCTCAGCAGTTCTTATATTGGCAGTTAACTAATCGATGACAAACCCCTTTCAGCTATGTAAATTTCCTCTTCTTTTTTTATTCCAGTGTAACTTCCCGACAACGGCAAAACTTCTACATGAAACCTCCATGGCCTTTTTCTGATTTCAATGTCCTGGAATAAATAATGCAGCGAAGCCGCTTTGATAAGTACATTTCGCAACTCACAATTGTTGTCTGATCGGTTTTCCGTTCTAATTCGACATTCTTACTCTCACCAAAGACGCTGAAATCTTGTTAAGGTACATTTGTCCAATCAAATACAAAGACAAATGTCATAGCGCAGGCTGACGCTTGTTTCCATGGGTTATTTGTCACCTAAATGTCTTGCCAAGCAACAAAGTCCTTTTCGGACTAGTGCGATGGGGTTACTTAGGAATGTTTACGTAATTTTATTAACGACGGCTGATGCGCAAAGTTTGTGATATCGTATTTGGAGATGTACACAAAAGTATGTTTTATCTCTTTCAATGATGCGCCAATGCAAGGCAAGCCATGTAGAGGAGTTGATGTTGTTACAGAAGCGACTACTCTCTGCAAAAATATATCTTTATTTTGTACATCATTTTGAGATGTAAAAAGCTGCATTAGGTGTGTTCCAACATGATGAAAATCCAAAAAAACCGCAGCAAGTTTTTTTTCTTCGAATGCCTTCCGAAAAATGTTCGAAAAATTTTTCCAAAATTCCTGCAGTCTTATACCCCAAAAGATAAAAAAAATTGGTTTTCTAAGGCCAATTTGGATTTTTCAAAAGGCTTCAAAAATTATTTCGATTATTAACAAGTTACTTGCGCAACTTTTGTGGCATATTCGCTGTGCCCTTCTGTCAATTCATTGATTTGTGGCACCTTGAAAAAAAAAGAATTTTCAACAAATGCTGAAAGCCATGTTTATGATATTATGTAAATAAAAGCACTGAAGCTTATTACATTTTCAGAGTCCGAAGGACGGTAAGTTGAGGATAGAGCAGTGAGCTCATGCTCACACCACGAAGCCATACCGAAATGCCTACCCGGGCCTTCGCATGAGAGAACCCATTTTCCGGAGAAAATAACTAAAAGCTGACAAATCTTTTCAAAAAACGCTTTGCAGATGGAGATGATAGATCTGAGATTAGCTTTCCATGAGCTACATAATCGTAAGCATCATTATCAAAACAGCTACATAGACCAAGTGATCTCTTCTTGTCAGGTATTTCCAATTACGTAAAGAATAAGTTTTTTTACGATTAATATGCTTAAACACAATTTTGCTAGAAGCACGCTTTTGGGAAACCGAGTTTCTCTTTCTCAAAGTGATGAACAGTTTGCTTTTAGCGCACACATGAACATATGATACTAAAATGGCACATTAACAGATAAAGGCCAGGAGGGTTTAACTTCGAGATTCCGTGGTGAAACTATGAGAATGAAAGATGTGGCAACATTTTATTGAAATTTTTCCTTAATTGGAAAAAATCACTCGTTTTTGATGCATATAAAACGATATGGCTCCAAGTTCGTTGTGTATATGCACTGTGAAGGATAAGAAGAAGGTAGGAAATTATTTGAAAACTCGAATGCATAACTCAATGTGGACTGCTTCGCAACTTACAACTTGTTAGGTGACAACCGTCACTCAAGTGCCACTCTGAAGAAGGCAAAAATTCCAATTCATATAATTTTGCGTAACTCTGTTCTACACCCAAAGTTTACCAAGTTAAAGCAACTTTACAAAACTCCTCCTCCTCTCTTTGTAAGAATTAGTAGTAACAGCGTCTTCACTGCTCTTAAGAAAGAAAGCGCGATCAAATAATTAACACTGCTGTCGTGATCAAGCGGTAACAAATGAAAATCAAGTGGGCAAAGTTACAGTGAAACGGATTGAAGATAACCAACTGCAAACAATTTATCGGGTTGGTGCAATATTGCGGACTTCCGATCAGACTATGGCAAAATTCATTCTTTTGAGATCCAGCGAAGTATGTGACATAGAGTAAGATAAGTGGTCTGGTCGCGTAGGGAAGGCAATAGATATACAAGAAGAACATATGATTGGTCATCAAGAGCTGGAAAAGTAGAAGCTCAAAGAAATGCTGTGACGTTCTTGTTTGCGTAAATCAGCTGCGTCGCTGGGTTTCAGAAGCATCCAGCAATCTAACCGCGTACAAACCGCGGATGACTGATCAATCAAACGAACTCAAGAACTTGACATGACATGTGGGGACGAACTATCCGAGTTGAAAGCTATTGTTAGTTACTTAATGACTTACAATACAGTCACTTTGTGAAACTTTACTAGCTTATGCCGCGCGAAAATTGCATATCTGTTCTAGTACTGGCGCTTCAAAGCCCTACCTCACAGAATAAGTCGGTTTCTCGTTCTCGTACATTCCTGTGACGGACCACTTGAGAGTTACTTTATCGAGTTGCTCAGTATGTTCCAATCTGATCACTTTCAAATCTTCGTATATCATTTGTACAGGCCCTAAATAGATAAACAGATATTATGGGCTAGGTGCTAAGTGAATGAAGAGTAGAATACCTCGCTGAATGGAAACGTTATAACCACCTAAATAACGAAATTCTAGTTTTGCATATCTGTTTTTCCCTTTGTCTTTGCTAGGATCGATGACATAAAGTGCCGTTCCATTCTAAAAAGTATGTATAAAAGTTTGTACAAAGGCCTTATGATGAGATGTAAAATATCAGATTGTTCCGAGTTCCATCCGTTTATATTTTCAAACGCAATAAGTCATAAAGTTCTCATTCCTAGATAGGTTCTAATAAGCCGTTTGATGAAGCAAAGCAAGTTTTACAAAATGATGTTCTGCTTTCGCACCAGTTTAAATCCATCTCGAGATTGAAGCCAAAAACTCAAAGGATCCAACCGCCCGAGAAATAGAGAAAAGTGGAAGTTTGCCCAAAAAATCCTAGAAAACTCCTAACTTGCTCACAGATAAACTATCCACATCAGACATTTACACATATTGTTGTTGTATTTATTCCTCGTGTAGGAAAAAAAAAACAAAAGTCTCTGTGTTCTTGCTAAAGTAAAGCTGTGCTGTTCCTACTTCAGTGGTTGTACACTACAGATTAGCAAACGAACAGACGTGAATTTTCAGCTCTCTACAGGCTTCAGTTTCCGAGAAGCATCAGATTTAGCTTCGTAGTCGGGTGTCGCATACTGAAATGAATCAGCGATCGCCCCGTGAAAATCAAGAATAGGCCTAGTAAGTCTTGTAGGGGAACAACTCAATTACTCCCCAGCCAGAAGATAGAAATAAAGCTGTTCATCGGATCCTGCCTACGGTGCCGGGTGGTAGCAAGAACGATGTCAGGGTTTTCAGGGCACCTTTTGGATCGGACAAAAACGACACGTCTGCTTGGACGACACGCTATGGAAACTGCCTTATGCTCTGCACCAACCACACCAGGACAGCCCTCACAGATGCCGATCTCCACGATCTTCTCGACGCTGCGGAACACATCAAGTACCACGTCATCGCTCTTAGGAAACGAAGTCTAGGAAGAAGGACGTGCGACAGACGAGTGATAAGACTTTGCTCATTCGTAGTGAGAAGATTCCATCAAAAAACATTGAAAGCATTGGCTTCGTCCACCCATCTATGTCCATCTTGTCGATTCGCATGAGAATCTATTACCTCGCTAGCCATCCTACGATTACGGATTCCAAGACCTTAGCATCATCTGCTACTCACCAACATCAGCAGCTAAGGATTCAGAACTAAATGCTTTTAGCGAAGACGTGGAGCAGGGCGTCCGCAACGATAAGTCCTTCTACAAGTTTGTTGTGAACGACTTACGCAAAAATCGGGATGTTATTGGAAAAGGAATATAGGATCGAGAAGTTTGGATATGGGCCCGAAACGAAAACTTCAGCCGTCTCGTTGGGCTTCTCTCCTCCGCAAGACTTTCCCATGGAAATTCATTTTCGTGAAGAAAGAACGTTGTTAGTGGACATGGGAATCGCCCAACCTAACGGCTCACGAGATAGACCACATTCTCACCAAACGAAGGTAGAACTTGCTCGATATTTCAGTAGTTCCATCTTTCTGCAGTGGCTCCGATCACCACCTCCTTCAAGCGAGAGCGCGATTCAGTCGAAAGCTGGGAAAGAAAGTCTGTCACAGTGTCGTGAGAAGGAAAGAAGTCGTAGAAGGCGTTTATGACGGCAACAGGCTGCAAGAGCTCATATTAAGTTGTGACTGGCTCACCGAGTAAGACCCAACATACAATTACGACCGGCTTTTGAAAGGATTGCGAGCCTGCGGAGAGTGCCCTCAGTGACTTCTGAAAAAAACTTGGAACGCATTTCAAAGACCACCAAGGAACTATTTAAAGAAGAAGATCACTGAGGCAAGATCCGAATGCAACCCATCGCGATCGACTGATAGCCAACGCCGATTGCAGAACAGCTTTGCCGGAAGATCTCAGGAAGTACAGGCAGCCAAAATACTGGGAGCAGCCGAAGGAAGACGAAAACTTAGAAAGCGCCGAAAGGACTGTATGAATATCACTTGCCGCTGGCTGCACTATTGAACGAAGACGGGACTTCGACTACTCCCCGATATAAAATGGAATCGATCGCGAAGAACTTCTACACCAACTTCTTCCGCTCATCAACACCCGTACCGATGCACGTTGTTCCCACTGGAGAAGTACCACCACGAATTCTACCTGCTGAAATGCGCACAGTGATTCAGACCACGGAGACGTCCACAGCTCCAGGACCAGACCGTCTTTCCGTCGAATTTTCTGCGAGCCGGAGAACAACGTACACGAGATTCTCGTGTTGTACCTGACATCCAACCTTCAGAAGAAAAGGATTCCTGACCAGTTCAGAACTTCAAAAACCGTCCTTCTCTTCAAGAAGGGTGAACAAGGTTCTTCGGAATTGCCGTCTGATATGCCTGCATCATTGTTGTATACTCGTGGTACCTGACCAGAACGACTGTAGATGATCGAATGAAAACAATCAATTGGATGGTACAATGTGTAGAACAACGACTACGTATGCAAGAACCAGTACACCTTATAGAAATAATGACGAAAAAACTCGACGTTACGTACGATGATCTGGCACAGGAATCAAAGAAAATACTTAGCCGTAAATGAGGACAGGACTCTAAAACCGCTCAAATTGTCTCCAACAACGCCTAGACTTCCCAAGCAGCATCCTGGACCGCCTTGAGCCTCTGAAGGAAGCCGCCGACCAACTGAAAAGCCCGGAGCTTCGTGCCCACCTACTCAACCATTCTGCCGGCGCTCTGTTACCCAGTTCAGATTTGTGCAAACACTGTAGCCACGTCGAAAGCCTTAAGGACTACTCCAAAGCGCTAAAACGCAGCTTTCTAAAGATAAAAAGAACAAAGGATAAAGGATTTGGCACACTTCATGGTCGAAGAGGCAATTGCGTGCGTGCGAGCCTGTTACAGTGACCTGCGGGGCCAGCCCAAGTCAGTGCTTTTATCCCCCAGATTATTCTGGTAATAATTTACCAGCCCCGGAGGGCAGAGGGCTTGGATGGCCCATGAGCGGAGTCAAACCTGGGTTCGATCTGGTCATAGCGGCGCCTCATACCACTACGCCACTCGTCACCCTCCTCTGAAAATGACCCGACACAAACAACATCTTGTCGGACTTCGCAGTACGGATATGAAATAATGTATCGTATTCGTGACCCAGCGGAATAGCGTTGCGAAAGCGAAACACCGATGGGCTGGTCACATTATGAAAAGCGCATATGACATATGTACACAAAGGACATCAGAGTGGATTGTTCGCGAAGCAAAACGTTCCCGGAAGACCTCCAACGAGATGGGGAGACGTGTTTGGTAACTGATGGATTAGCTGAAAAATTAGCTGAATACAATTTTTGCACCTGGAATTCGTGACGCAGCCAACGACGTCAGCCAAGAAGATCGTGGATGTTTGAGCGAGGGACAGGGATAAATGGAAATTTCTGTGCTGAGGCCCGCACGTCACGTGAAGGGGGGCCATCTAATTGTAAGTACCTAAGTATCACCAACATTCCGTAACACTTACGGTATCGTAGGTACTGTTCACATGAAGTGACACATCAAGCGGTGTAGAACTATCTTCAAGCCGATAACTTTGTAGCGTCACCCTAAATGATGCATTCAAACATGTGTTTTGACATAATCATCTTGGAATTAGTTGTATTGTGACTTTTTAAATGAACGCAGCTTGTAAACGGCTAACTACAACATACAAGGGGTTTCGAAAAATATGCACACTGTTTGGTTGTTGATAACTCTTTTACCCAAATGTCTTTCTTTTGAATACCATTTTCTAAGCGCTTTAACTTAAATTTGCAGTATTGAGAAAATCACTGAGTGCTCTTCATAGCCATAGGTCTATGGAACTTTGAAAAGGTTTTGAGCCATTGAGAAGCCTATTTTCGTTAAGAAACATTATTCAACACAAAATCTCGTTCTTGAAAAACGTGATTATACCACCAAAAAGCTTTACGCATCTGTGAAAAGTCGTGTACTGGAATCAACATGCAAGAAAAGCTCGATCGATTTTCCCACATTTTTTAGAAAACTTTTGAACAGCCTATTTTACGAAGGAGCTGTAAGCTCATAGGTTTGGGATATCATGTACGTATGCATAGATTGCTAAGTGTAAAAAGCTTTTTTTTCGTAACGATTGACCCAAATAATCATGTTTTACATTTCTTCCAATGCTTAGCGTTAGCCCAATCTTTCTACAAGAAAAAGGTAGTAAGTGTGATCTTACAAATGAGGATACCATTGAATGCCTCTGAATGCTTGTCATCAAAACTACTGTCTACAAGATCTACTGTACTCACAAGGGAAGGATACTCGGTCGAAGTGGCCATTTGGAATGAGCTGTATATTAGGAAACCGTCCTCCGTAAGGCAAACTCAAAACTACTTTCGCTAGGTGCCGAGCGGTTTTGTGGGGGGAGTTACAAAGCCATTTTCCTCCGGCGCAGCCAGCGCACCCAGTGATGAGCGAGGCGCTAGAACAAAGGCACCAGTGTGGCAGTGGCGCAGTGGCAACGCAGCGGACTACAAAGCAGATGGTCGAGGGTTCGACTCTTGTTGTTGCTATTTTGTTTTGCAGTTCTGTAAAAAGTCTATTGGGTTACAGCAAACGAGAAATACTAGTTCTAGGCAGTTCGAACAAGCTATTTACTGCAAAACAGTCACAATTTCTACAATAAGCCATAATCTTTTACAGTATGTAAATCTGTGGAGGTTATGATGTCACAACAATGGGTTCAAATGATATATTAACATGTATGGAATACAACCACAAAATGCTCAAAGCAGAAGAGCTTCTCGCAACGCGCGCACTTGCAATATTGCAATCAATTCACATCCCATTTATTGGCTCTTGATCTGAACTTTACCTTGCATCATAGGGATTCCATCCTTAAGATCTTATCGCTCATTTACACACAATTTTGCTAGCCTCGATTCAAAAACTTGCTTTCATACCCATGGATGCAGCCGGATACATTGACAACCACCCCGGCGAATTCGAGTCTCCTATTCAGTACTGTTTTTCACCGACTTTGATAGGCAATTGTGAAGCTGCTGATTGTCATCGTTTTATTTTATCCGATGTGCGCGCTGCGAGAAACTCTTCTACTTTAAGCATTTTGTGATTGTATTTACATGTTAATATATCACTTGAATCCCTTGTTGTGACATCATAACCTCCACAGATTTACATATTTTAGAAGATTATAGCTTATTGCAGAAATAGTGGCTTTTTTGCAGTAAATAGCTTGTTTGAACTGCCTAAAACTAGTATTTCTCGTTTGCTGTCACCCAATAGACTTTTTACAGAACTGCAAAACAAAGTAGCAGCAACAGGACTCGAACCCTCGACCAACTGCTTCGTAGCCCGCTGTGTTGCAACTGAGCCACTGCCACACTGCTGCCTTATTTTAGCGCCTCGCTCATCACTGGGTGCACCAGCTGCGCCGGAGGAAAATGGCTTTGTAACTCCACCCACAAAACCGCTCGGCACCTAGCGAAAGTAGTTTTGAGTTTGCCTTACGGAGGACGGTTTCCTAATATACAGCTCATTCCAAATGGCCACTTCGACCGAGTATCCTTCCCTTGTCAGCTAGATCTTGTAGACAATCAAGGCTGCACAGCTGTTGATGCAACCATGCATTGTGGTAGTCTGACGTCCAGATTTCCAGCTTGCATATGACGCACTTATTCATCTCTGTCGCTGTACTTCGATAACACAAATTTCAATACACTATCATTCTAAACACTCCAAAGTGCTTTTGTTGAAAGCTTGCTTTCAAGTAAAGGATATTATAGCGGGTAAGTAAAAATCACTTGATAAACCAGAAAAAGCATAGAAATTCTTTCAAATACAAAAAGTTTAGTAGAAAGAAAATAGACGTATTTTTCAGAATATAGCAAAAGATAAAAGCATTGGCTGCTCCTCCAAAATAAGGCACAAACTTCTACTGAAGAGCACATTATTTCGAAAAACGGCGTGTGCAGTATGCTGCCTAAAAGTTTTACCATTTGCTTTTTGATGTTTTTGCTACGCTAAAAAATTTTAGCTTCGTAATAATTTTTTATCCAGTAGGCAACTAACTTAGCAGCGTTTGAAAAAATAAAAAATTGAAATCAGCTTAAAACACTGGCTTCAAATAAACTGCTCTTATATCAGGTCGTTCCGAAAGTAATGTCGCTTTTTTCAAATGAACGCCACATTTCATGGAATCAAGATTTTCAAGAGGTCTCAAGAGCATTCGATGCAGCATTTCATCCTCTTTCTAATGGTTTTAATTTCTTTGCATAATATTCGTCGAGCACTCGAAAAATTACCAAAAACTGCGACTCAAGCTTTTTGCCATGGTCAGGTATTTTATTTTTTATACTATTTTTCCAAATTTTTGCACCTATTCTCCGAAGAAGCAAATGTGACGGGTAGACAGTGCAAACTTTATAGGACACAGAGTAGTTTTTTTTCTTTTTCTTAGCTTGCTAGTTAGAGTTTCTGGAATCAATCAATGCCATCAAGGCAAGCAACTCGGGTGTCATTCGACGCAGCTTTTTCTCCTCTTTCTACCAATAGTTTTTTGTTTTCGATTCATCAAGTTTTCCGGAACAAAATCATCATAACCCAGGGCGCCCAGGCCGTACCCGAAACTTCCGAAAGTTGCTAATCTGAAGCGGTAAACACTCAGTTGCTTTGCAAAATTACTGTCAAACCATAATCCATCTTTAGTTTCAAAATCCGAGGATTCATTGTTGTTTGATGCATGTCTGAGATGAGCCTGCTAAAATTCGGCGGTTCTATCAAAAAATCTATACAAAGATTATGACGAGCTCTGGAAAGTAGAAAAAACTTGTGCTGTTTCCTGTAGCGTTTGCTCTATTCTATCTCTCCAAGCGAAAAACATTATTGGCTGTACAGGTTCATGCAGATTAATGAATTTTAACCAGATAATAGGAAAAAATTTTCATACTTTATCAACTTTGCGAATTTCACATTACGATTTCGCAAGCCTGAATCTGTAATCTTTCAATCATCCCTCTCCCTCGCTCTTCTTTTTCACAATCGCGGGCGTGGTTCGCTTCTCTGCACACTCGACATGCAGTGTAAGCACCATAGGTGCGATAGGGAGAGCAGGGTCCTCTTCAGGTGAAGGGGGTTTTGGCTATTTCCGACCTAGAAAAGTGAAGAGGTAACTGAGTCTTAATTGCTGACGCAAGCTATGCTTAACGGTGGCGGGAGTGAAAAGAAGGAGTATAAGCGACACAAAGGTGTAAAAAGAAGATTTTCTCAATGCTTAGGCCTTTGAAGGTCATCTAACAGAGACTTTTTTGACTCGGAAAAGCTTTGTGTTTCATCAGTCGACATACCATTCGAAAGATTGAGACATAAACAATCGACGTAGACCATCTACTTTCTTCCAGCTCTCCTGTGCATATATACATATAAGAAATCATATCTAGCTTCAGCATCAACTGATTTTATGCAATTACTTTGCGCTCCATTTTTGAGAGAAAGAGAGCTAGAAAAAAATGACGGTTTACGTTTACTGGCAAGGTCTTGTTCTGTACTACTGTTAGAAAATCAGGCACCTTCATTCATTCTTCACAGGAATTTCTTTACAAAAACACACATGCTTTTAGCTAAAATGTCATGTATCTCTGAGCAGAGGGGAGCTAGAAAAAAGAGACGGTCTATGTCGAATCCTTGTTTCATGAGCTTTCTAATAATATATAGGTTGTATGGTGAAAAAACTCGTGGTTTTTCAAAATTGAGGTGGAGATATTCAATACTAACTTGCACCACCCTGCTCCGGCTTTCTATGGATAGCAGGAGCAAGACTTTTTTGGATAGGAAAAACTTTGTGCACCAACACTTTATATACCTTTCGATAGCTAAGAACAGAGGAATCGACGATAACCGTCTTTTTTTTCCTAGCTTCTCTGTGAAGCGAGATACGAGCAATTTTACCTAGGTACAATATCAGCCAATTCTGGGTAATTATTTTTTCAGACCAAGAAGGTTTTTCCCGAAGTTTATATATGATTCGAAAGCTTGAAAAACGAGTAATCTGAATGTCCTTTTCTTTTAATTATTCTCTCTAGTAAAAGGAGATATAGCACGATTCTTGTCAGTAAACATGCATCCATCACTGGCTAGTCCAGAATTTCTACTCTTGCTCAACTCTTTCTGTGACAGTGTGTACTCATTGAGACAATGTTAATTACTCAAAGAATCAGGCATCCTTTTCATTTTTGATTATGTTTCGTTATCAACGCCACTTTGAGTGCGCTGAAGGTCTCAAGCATGGGTTTTTTCAACAACACGCTGTTGCCTCTTGCAGCCGTGATGTCTGAGGAGAAGAGCAGCTGGCGTTTCCTTTCCGAACAAAAAGTGCCGTCGTAACAGCTGTTTGATTATGCCGTTACGCCTTAATTCTAGTCTCAACCTCAGGTGAAAGGGGTCAACCAGATGACGGCCCTAAAGTGAAGGGGGTCAGAGAAATTTCTCCACCTATCGCATCTATGGTGAGCACCCACCCTTTCTTCTCTTATACAGGGTGTCCGTAAAGTATGTATACACTGTTTGATCGTCAATATCTTTC